ATCTACACATCTTTTAAATCCGTCTTGGCATGGTGGCTCCACCACTGCCCTAGGCAGCCTCTTCCAGTGCTTCACAATCCTTTATGTGAAGAAATTTTCCCCAACATCCAATCTAAACCTCCCCTGGCACAACTTGAGGCCATTTTCTCTTGTCCTGTTCTTGTTACCTGGGAGAAGAGACCGATCCCCACCTCACTGCAACCTTCCTTCATCAGACTTGGGCTCCAGACCCTTCCCCAGCTCCGTTGCCCTTCTCGGGACATGCTCCAGCACCTCAATGTCTTTCTTGTCATGAAGGACCCAAAAGTGAACACAGGATCAGAAGTGTGGCCTTACCAGTTACTTAAGTTCATGGGGACAGTCACTGCCCTCGTCCTGCTGGACACATTATTTCTGATACAGCCAGGATGTCATTGGCCTTCTTGGACACCTGGACAGACTTTCATCTCATCTGCCATCGCCTACCTGTACTGATAGCAAGCTGAATGACCTCACTAGCCTTCCATCCCTCTAGCATTGGTGTGCTGCCCCCAGGATTATCTCTAGTCCTTTCCCCCTTCAAATCCAGTTTCATACTAGTTTCATACTGTGTGCAACACTGGTAGCAATTTTTAAGAGAACTGTTTTGGTGGGACTCTTTTCTAGATACTTCCCTTTGAAAAACCCAGTGCCACTATCACAAACCAAATGTACATACTTCTTGAGATAGAATTAATTTTTAAATGCTCCTGCTGCATCTATCACAACTTTTCCATATTCAACAACAACTGCATTCCCCTGAGTTATGAAATTGGCTTAATGGAAAATAAATATTACAAAGTAAAAATCCTGGGTTCTCTTCTGCTTGTTTTTCTAGCCATTAGGATTCATTTTTTCAGGTTCTTCTGCAATAAACATAAGGATTATATTGTGGGTTTTTTAATGAAAAACTGTTTTCTCCAGAGCTGAGAAGATGATGCCACAAGGGAAGTAAAATATGTCAAAAGATACAGGCTAAGAACCTGTGTGTTGGCCTCACTCTGATAATTAAGGCTGGCAGCGAATACCTCAAGATAACTTTTCCTATCAGAAAATGCTCATTTGTCAAAACTGAATTTGTTTATGGGAGAAGGTTGAGTTGAGAAATTTCTCAGCAAAAATGTTGTAAACAGCTCTCAAGATTGTCTAAATGACAAATTCCAAAACAGCCTAAAAGAAGAATTCCTTTTGGGTTTTCAACCTTTTCAAGTTAAGTGTAAACTAATGACTGAAAACTGGAAAAGAAAAATTAAGGAGTCAAAACTAAAATGGAAGTTAATTTGAAATTGTTGAATTGATACAGTTTTTGAAGTGTTGCTTTGTGGCATAATAACAGAATTTTGTTTTCCTGCTCAAATTTTTTTTTTTTTAGCCCTGTCTTAGAACAAGTGCATAGCTTCCCACATAGCTCTGACAATAAAATCATGATGTCCAAATCTGATACACTAATATTTTATATGCACCAAATAACTTTTTCCATGGTCTTATAAGTTCTGGTTTTTACTTTTTCAAGAATATAGAGCCCAAATACATATTTTAAGTTTCTCCTCTCCCAGTGCATGGAAGAAGCAGGCCATGCTATGGGCTGAGTGCTGTGACACAAAGCTTCTGCCCCAGCATTTCTTTCTGCTCAAGCTTTCAGTCACCTTGTGGGCAGGACCCATGATGAGAGTGCCCTTGTCATCGCAACCAAATCTGCCCAGATTTTGGCACTTTCTGTCCCTCCACATTCCCACCCTGGGATCTGCTGTCCTTAGGGAAGATCAGTGCCCAGGATGTGGGTGACTAACACGTGCTTTTGTTTGCACTGATGAGGTCTCTGAGCTTGTGGATACAAATTGGAGGCATGCAGGAGGGGAGAGCAGGAGAAGCAGGTATTTGTGTTTTGAGAGGCCCATTGTTAAACATGAATATTTTAGTGATTGTACACTTCATGGTGCAGAGCTTTGCTGCCAGCTTCAGCAATCTTGATGGATTGAACTGACATTTCTATTACATGTGTCTACATTAAGCACCCTTTTTCTTTGCCCTCAAATGAATTTACTTTGAAATGTGTTGGCAGGGTTACTGTAGCTGAAAAAAACCTATGTGATGTGAAATGTACTTTTCTGTCAAAAAAGTTGTCACTGCCTCTTGGCAAATTAGTATTTTCCCCTCTGTTTTCTCAGCTCCACACCTTCCTCCTATGATTTTGGCGGGGCTTTTTTTTTTTTGTGTTCTGGGTATTCCAACACCTCTTCCCAAAAAGAACAAACTCCTGTTTGCAAATGTGTTGAAAGTCAGCTTTCTGAGAAGTATCAAAAGAAACCCTGTCTTGGATATTTCCAGACATGTTACATATTTTTCAGCAGTTCAGCATCCATGCTCTGTATTATTTTTCACATTTTTGAAGTGCTTGGGAAATGGTTCCTGCTCCAATGCTGACCTTCACGGTTTTACTTTGTTCTCCTGACCACCTGGTCCACAATATGTACATCAAAGGTCTTCATTTGAGATGAGAAGAATTTGGAAGCAGGCTGGCTTAGTGCTAAGCAACAAAATAATTAAATGAGCCTTTTCATTTCTTTCCTCCCCCCAACCTCTCTGTTTCAAAGACACTCCAAAAACAATCTGTACATTGAGTGAACAGAAGTGTTTTTATTACGGAAATCCTCCCCCTTCCACATGGATTGTCGAAAGGGCTTTTTGGACATCTGCCCAATCGCAACATTTTAGCCTGTAGGAAAACAAGCAACAGATAGTGTGTTTGTTTGGCTCCTGATTCTCCAGTCATCTGGAAGTGCCTTATTTGCCACTAGCATCCATAATTTCTTTTCCAACCGGTTCTTCAAAACATTCATTTAGGCTCATGGGAATAGAGAAAAAAATATTCAGAGATGCATATTTGATTATTTAAATTGATTCCTTCTTCAGATTGTTTCAACAATGCTTATTGAGTTTTGCAAAATGAAAATCAAGCCCCTTGAACTGCCAGCTTGAAGCAGAGCAATCACCAACACAATTCCAGTTACATCCAAACACCTATGACTCCTGGGAGCTGATATTAGTTAAACTTTACCTTCATACCTTTGTTTTTCTTGCAATTGCTATTTCTGTGCCAAATGTACATCGTATTGCTCAGGGACTGTAGCAGGTGTGTCCTCTGGAGTTCAGTGAAGGCAAACAAGGTGAGATCATGAAACACTCTGAAGTTAAGGGGGAAGTGATGCTGATCCCAAGCAGATCTGGGAGTTACTCAACCTCATCATTATTTCTTCCAATGGATTAACTTTCAGCTGCTATTCCTAATAGCTGTGCACTCAAAAATCAAGGAAGACTTTGTAATCTACTGGCAACTAAATGCAGGAATGGTGTCCCAAATGGCTTTTCCGTCATGTACCCTTTAGTGCCAGTGGTCCCTCTTTTCACAAGACAATAGTTTACCACTAGCAGCCAGCAGTTTTCTCACCATCCATGGACTTCTTTTAAGAGGTTTCTAAAAAGTACCCAAGCAAAGTAGTCTTGTATTTGTACACTTATTTTCACTATAATTTACCTTGCAGGCTGACTGTAAATGTCACTGTAAGAGATGACATGTGACTTTACACTGGTTTAATACTCAAACTACACTTTCTTTTGAAAAATGCCAGGAAACTCAGGACTGAGGTGGAAATGCCGTGGAAAAAACAAAAGACATGTCCAGAGCCTCTTGCATGAGCACCTGCTAAATGCCTGTGCTGTCCATCCAGGATGTCCTGCTATTCTGGCTCACACAGCTCTAAATTTAGTCTTCAGCCTGCAGGCCCTTTGAGAGTCCTCAGCGAGAGAAGTATTGTGAGTGAGGAGTTCAGAACTTACTTTAGGACTTGATAACATTTCCCATTCAGATGGAGCATCTCAGCCTCCAAAGGTATTGCTAGTCCTGCACTTCTCCTGCATACCTTTGAGCAGTGCCTGATTCTTGCTCATGAAGGGCAGATGTGGAGTTGGCTTTGATTTGGGCCATTTGCTCACTGCCAACGCTTCTGTTTCAGAGCTGGGAAAGTGCAGAATTTGGCTCTGGTTGGAGGTGGAAAGCCCAGCTTTTGGCACACAGCTCTTTCAAGGACCATTAATATTTGTGCTCTTCACACAAAGTAAACACTCATCGTTTTGGCCAGCCTGCTACAGTGCCAGCCGCCATGGGGTTCTCCTCTGGGCCTTCTCCTGGGCAATCCTGCCTGAGAGATCAGATAATCTTATTTATGCTTCTCTTCCCTTCCAGATGTCAACAGTTGGCTGCTCACCTTCGGGTTCCAGCTACACAACGTCATCCCCGGCTACCCCAAGCCAGACGTGGATGCAATGGAGCCGTCCTATGAGCTAATCCACACACAGATGAAAACCCAAGAATGGGACAATAGCAAGGTGATCCATGCAAATCCATACTATATCTCATGCCCTTATCAGCAGACTATTCACTTGCAATCTTTATTGAAAAACCTCTATCAGTGTGTTGTCCCAGATACACTGGGAGATTAAGAGCAAGTCAGACCCCATTCCAGTATTGAAATCTATCTGAATAATCACATCTTAAGTTCACTACTGCCACGGTGCTTTTTCCTATATTTTCTGGTCGTTGCTCAATGAAATAGTTACTGTTTCTTTCTCCCACAGAGGCCATGTTACCACATATTGCAGGCTAAAATCAAGGCCTTTGCACCAAAGATTCTTAGAAATTAAAAAAAAAAAAAAATAAAAAAAAGGGCAAATCTTGATGCAGAATCAGTTTTCACAGACTTTTTTTCTAGAAATTTATTCAGTCTGGCTTAAAATGTCCTAAACAAGAAGCCCCAGTACTTCCCTAGGAAACTATTCTGCATTGCAGGGACTCTCACCAGAAAGAAGTTTTAGATGATATTGAACTTTCATTTTACCTGACTGCGTTTATCCCAAGTAACCATGTCCTGCTTTTAAAAACAGCCCTGCATCCCAAGCCATTTTGGTAGATGATGGCAGAAAATTCAATGCTAAAATTGGCACGAAAAAAGCTTTTGCACCAAATCATTTCCCCATCTTCCTGTTGGGAATTACTCAGCTGAAAGATGGAGGCAACACTGTTAAAGGTTAGAACACTGAGTCAGGATTTGAGAGCCCTGGGTTAACTCTCAGCCCTACTTCTTATCAGTGTATGACCTCGAAAAAGTCATTTACCTCTCAGGATACTCTTTCGTCTTCTAGACTGGTTGTATTCCGGGTTTGCTTTCATCTGTTTAGTCTGAATCCTCTTTAGTCTGAACTCCTGCTTGATATTGCTGTGTGTTCTAACTTTGCAAGAGCAATGAGGCCCCAACGTGCTTGGGGAGATCAGGGCACGTTCTTAACATTTCTGCTAATAAAATGATAGGCAATGGAATTGATTCCATCTGCGCTCCTAGCCTCTTTTATCTGTGACTTCACTGAAATCTTGGTGTCCTGCAGCAGATTCTTAAGGTCCTGTACACATCTTAAACCAGAAGGTCACACCTCCTTGACAACAAAAGGTATCACGCAGAGGTGCGAACAAGATACTGTGGATTGAGAAAAGTCATGTGTCAGTCCATCCTTGGTACTCAGCCTGAAAGTTGTGCTGAAGACAAGTTAAAATGTACCAGCTTGAACTTCAGCAAGAGATTTATTTTAAGTATTACTTAATAATAGAGGGGGGACCAAAAGAACTCTGCCTTTTTGCTACTATGACTGAGTTGATGCTTGAAAACTATTACACTGCAGCAACTCAGTTGTGTTTTTGAGCTCAAAGACTCCTTTTTTGTTTCTTATTTCTTTGGATTAAACAATAAAATGGTAATAGAGATTATTCTGTAATGAGAGAGAGCCTCAGGATTTTTCCTCCTCTCTGATGTGACACAGTATCCTCAGGCAAAGCTGTACAGGAGAAGGCAAACAGGGAAGGCTTGTTCAGAGACTGCACAGAAAATTGTCTCAGAAATATTATGTGCAGTAGGTAATAACCCACACAGAACCACCACAGAAATTAGTAGTAGTAGTAGTAGTAGTAGTAGTAGTAGTAGTAGTGTTATTATATTATTATTTTATCATTAGTTCATTATCATGATTTGACTTATTGAATAGCCAAGTAATGAGTGACAGCTTGAGATGAAGACTAACCCTTGCTCATACAGGCAGATGAGCTGGAAATAAAACCAAGGAGACCCTCCCTTCCATCCAGCCATTTTAGAGGAATCTGCCTGAATGAGCAATAAGAAGAAAAGAAAATCTCCATGTCCCTGCCAGGTTTTTAAAGCCAGAAGCTGCAGTGAGGACTGTGCAGGGTCCTGCTCGTTAAAAGAGGGCTTTATGCAGCCATCGTGCTTCCAGATGAGTCACTTTACACTGAAATGTTGAAAGTGGAATTTAACCATTGCAGGCTGTTTTATATTCTTCCCCTGTGTTATGACAGCAACAAAACATGAGCATTTTATTTCTGTCTACAGTTGCAGGATCATGCTGTGATAGCAAGTGGCTCTTAAATGCAATAGAGCAGGATTCCCTTCCTTTCTGTCACACCCAGCATATTGTAGGCACATATTTGCGTAAAACAAATTCATTCACATATGATACCTGAACACATGATCCATTTTCTCCTATGCCTATCCATGCATCCAACACTGATGTTTCCCATAAAGTTCTGTTCACTTGCAACCCTTTCCAGCCAAACCGGCTTCCAGACACAATCCAGCCCTCCTTCCTACTGTTTGTATATTTTCATGAAGCATGTGGAAGAAAATACAAACTTTGGAAAATTTCACATCACAAATGACAGAATTAAACATAGGTAAATGGAAGCACAGGAAGCATTTTCAGATGATAAAAATGGTCAAACTGGAGCCTCTGGAGTAAGCCCCAGCTCTTTTGTCATTTAAAAGTAGCCTGGACAAGGCATTGATCATTGAATCATATACCACAACTTTCTCATTGCCATGTCTTCTGATCCCTGTTTCTCTGGATCACATACCTCCTTGTGATAGACCAAAGTATATTTGAGCTACTTTACCGGCTTTGCTGATCAAAGCTATGGCCCTGCAGATTGAATCAGTTCTTTTATCAGAGAGGAATGACTAACAAGAGCACAACAGCAAAGGAACTAGCTCCCCATCAATGGCTGCTTCGTCTCTCTTCAGAGTGCATAACCAGAGCACCCTGGCATCTCCTTCCAAAACATTTTTGGTACTTGCCTTGCAGGTTTGGAAGATGGGAGAGATAGTTCTGACTTTGAGCAGCCACCACCTCAAAAACAGCCAACATGTCATAAACCTTGCACTAACCCCCTGCAGCTCCGAGTGACATTTAAAATCCAATACTCTGTTGTGCAGCACTTCCCCCTCCCCTCCTCCCTATGACCGTGAGGCTGTCACTAAATTGCTTGTTGAACAAGTTCAGTGTTATTGGCCACCAGGGGACTCTGGGTGACCTCTGGCATATTGTGGAACTGCTGCACCTGAATCCAGTTTCTCTTCTAGGTTTTTTTGTTGTTGTTTTTTTTCGTTGTTTTTTTTTTTCACTTTTGTCTTGTTGAACTGTCAGGTAATTGTTGGAGCCAGAACAGCTCTATTTCCAGGGAGTGTTTTGGAGTCAGCACTTTTATCATTATCTACATCATATTAATAAAAACCCTTCTCTCCATCCCATGAGCACTGACTTCAGGAAGGGTCCTGTTTTCTGCAATGCCTGTTACAGGCTGTGCTGGAAGGAGTAGTTTTTGGCATTCCTTATGGAGCAACATTTTGGAGACAAGGGCTGCTCTGGGGTGCTCAGCCAGGGAGTGAGCTATAGAGCTGTGCTTTCTGGCAGAGCTTCTTTCAAGGACAATCTGTTTGAGGGACTGTCTCTGCCAGTGTTCATCGTTCAGGGAAGGCATCCTCACACTGCGAGTGCTTTGGCCTGGGCTTGGACCGTCACTCTGTCTGCACGTCTGTCCATCAGCCCCTTGTTATGTTTTGCAGATATAGTGGCCAGTTTTCAAAGGATCTAATGCAGGGAAGGGAGTGGAACTCTCAAAGACATTAAGCTCTTGAGGCTTTCAGAAAATAGATGAGCAATATGAAAACAGATGAGCAAGAAAAGGAGGCAAATCCCTTATTTCTCCACAAACGAAATTTGCTTGATGAACTCAACCTCATTATCCCCCTGCAGCTGTCTACACTGGTGGGGTGGAGAAGGGACCTCTCCTCTAAGCCCATGAGTTGGCACTTGTGTTTCACACATTGCCAACCAACCATCATCTCGAGCACTGCCTTGCTGGGCAGTCGCTCACCTCCACTGCCTCACTGGTGTTGGTGCTTGGCAGGTTGCTGAGCAGGCACGTTGCCTCTCAGCCAACCCTTGTGCAGTGCAGCCATGCCAGCGGTCAATACCTGCCAGGCTGCTGAGGTTGATGGGCTCCTCCTGCACCTACACCATCTGGGAGCTGGTGAGGTACATCCAAATGGGGACTTGTCTCCAGGTAATGGTCAGGTGGAACACAGGGAGGAGGCTGATTACTGAAAAATGGCTTTGTTAACAGAGAGCTAGGTGGTAAATAAAAAGGGGGGGTTGTAAAAAAGAGAGAGAGCTTTTACACAGGCAAATAGTGATAGGATGAGGGGAACATTTTTAAACAAAAAGAGGAGACATATAGATTAGATGATAGGAAGAAAATCTATTCCCAGAGAATAGTGAGGCACTGGCAGAGGTTGCTCAGAGAAGCTGTGGATGCCCCATTCCTGGAAGTGTTCAAGGGCAGGTTGGATGGGGCTATGAGCAACCTGGTCTAGTTGGTGGCATCCCTGCCCATGGTGGCAAGGGTTAGAACTAGATGATCTTTAAGATCTCTTCCAACACAAGCATTTCTATGATTCTGTGATAAATAGGAAGGAGTTAATGATGAATAATATTTCAGGGAAGTCATAACTTCCAAGCCTTTTGGAAGAAGAGACTTTCTGTGTTATAAGCCATATGGTTGTAAGAGAAACACCTATCTGTGTATAATGGCACAAGGATAGAAAGAAACTTGGAAACATGTTCACGTATTTCACATCTTGGATCCTGGATGGGAAATTAAAGCTTTCAGTCTCACACTGGAAGGCGGTATTTAAAAACAACAGATGATAGGATCTGGCGATGGTATTTCAAATCCTCAAGAGGTGCCGGTAAAATGCAGGAGGCTATTCAGAGATCTCTGTATTGTGCTGCTCTCTTGAGCTTTGTGCAGCAGAGAACAAATGATGAAGGTCGTTCTCTTCTCTCCAAAGGGTTGTTACTAGATAAAGTGAAATGTCACCTAAGGACATCTGATTAAAAAAGACTATGAGAAAAAATAAACCCAGCGTTTGTCACTCACATCAAGCAACAAATATTGAAATAAAATAACAATGAATTCCCTTCTTTCTTCTGCAAAACTGGTTTTATAGATACCTTGGCTTACAGTTGCTAACAGCAGCAGCATTTTTTAGAGAATAGCACATGCCACTGCAGCTTTGGATGGAAAATTTCTGTTTCTTTTCCTTGCCAGTTCATTGAAATGAGTTATAAGATTAAACAGAAATGGTAATTTCAAAGTCAGGGATCCTGCCCCTTTGAACTACATATAATCTGTTTGCCTCTACCTCCTTTATATTCACAGCAGAGTATACAAACTGACTGTGCTCTGGTTTGTTTGAATTTGTTGGATGGGGTTTTTTTTCTGTTGGATGTGTTTGCTTTTCCTTTTAAAAAAGTGCTGTTCCCAAATACACTCCTTTATCAAAGAAGTGCACTCAAAAAGTCATTTCAAAGTCATCCTGGGCTTGTTTTCAAGTTAACAGAGATGTGTTTAGTTATAGGAATAGCTGATAGTTAAGTTTGAGCAACCTGGTCTAGTGGAAGGTGTCTCTGCCTGTGGCAGAGAGTTTAGAACTAGGTGATCTTTAAGGTCCCTTCCAGCCTGAATTATTCTGTGATTCTAAGTGACTGTGATGTTCAGCATTACAGCTTTGCACATCTCATCTCCCACTTCCCTACTTGAAAAAAAGATGGGGAAAGCCCAGAAGCAACCAGTGCCCAGTAGAAAACCCTTTAGTTGTGATTTTGTTCCTGACTAAGACACATAAAGGTAGGTGTCTGCCTGTGAATTTGCTATCCAGTGGTGTCCAGATCCACTGCTTTGTTGGGGCAATCTAATTTGGAGGCACTCACAGAGGATCTATACCTAATAATTTGCTCAGATTTGAAAAGGTGCAGGAGTTCCTGCAGCTCATCGAGAATAAGGTGATGAAGACAAACTAGAATGAGAAAGGAGGACATTTCTGATGGAATTATTCACCCATGCCCAGTACTGTCTGACCTCCCCAAGCTCCCTTCTCCAAGGTGATAATCAGTAGATGGTGCAATTAATTCCAGGGACTCTTTATCACTCAACTGCTGGTAAACAAGGTGATGTATATATAGATGGTGATACATAAATGATCACAGGACATAGCAATGTAGCACAGAAGACCTGATTTACATCCTTGAGTGAACAGTGATTCAGTGTAAGTATTGGGAAGTGCCTTTTCCCATCACTTGTAAATGTTACTGAGGCAATTTGGAAGAGCAATGTGATATATAGTGGTAGTGGGACCACCTAGAGTCAACCCATATGAGATACACCCGAGAAGAATAACCCTCCATTAAAACCTCCTTGAAGAGGAAAGAGCTAATGACCAAGGCTGTGCAATGTGCACTTATTTAGAACAGTAAGTGTTTCATGAAGCCTAGAAACCTAATTGCTCCATGTCCATCATCTGTGACATCTACATTAATTACGTCCATTTTTTGCATAATTAGAGCACTTGTGGAATTGGCAGGAAAGCTGGGCTCGGCTCCCTATCAGTCTGTTAATTATATTGCTCTCTAGGCGGTGTGTGAGATGCCCTACAGGCAGGATGGGGAGAACCAGAAAGAGCTCCTCCTCCATAGGAGGCTGGTTCCTGCTCCAGCTGCTTTGCTGTCAGCTGAAAGGGAGAAAGGAGAAGATACACCAGCCTGCTCAGCACTTTGAATAAAAGTCAGTTCAGGGTAATTTAATGTTTTACAACCCAAAACGTGCTCTTGAAGCTGTGTACCTCTATTCTCTTATAGTTTTCTCTTTTATCAGTCAAAACTGCTCATAACCTGTAAGCGAGTTACAATGGTAAATCCTTTATTTTTTTAATACTTTAAGACTCTTCTCTGGAAACGACCACCATAGAAATAAGGGTTTATTTCACTTCCCTTACCATGTTACAAGTCTGAAATGCCTGCATCACCTGAATTGTCTTCTTGCACCCAGGGAAGGATGTCAGCCTTTTGCTTGTGGACAGTTTAAGGCAATATCCATCATGGATGTTAAATTTCCTCAGAATAATTGGACTGCAGCAAACTTTTCTTTGTATCCTATTTTTAATCCTGGGTGTCTTTACATTATTGAATTGAGCCTTTGGCAATGCCAGGGGAGTTTTGTCATAGCATCCTCTTGCTTTTGTGAAATTAGAGCAAATAATTGTTCATGAACAGGAGTCTGTAAGAAGCCTGTGCTGCCATGAATTGATGAGAGCATTTCCAAAGACATTTTGCAGTAACGATGAGCTGCTGACTCGTGTGCTTGCTTCATTATATGCTAACAGCAAAAGTGACTTTGTATGTACCTGACTGCAAATGATCCAGGCTGTTGTCTCTCAGCAGTTTTGCTTCAGTATAAGCCAAACCTTGAGCATCAGGTATGGCTGGCCTTAGCTCAGGGAGCCTGGCAGATTGTAGGGGTCTGCAGGAAATAGGACTTGGATTCAGTGCCTTCCTTGAGTTTTGAACAACCTAATTTGGCCAGGCTGAAATGGGATATAGAGTTGTTATGGCCACCTGGAGGGTCATACAGATCATACAGGGCTTTTGGAGGCAGCACAAGGAGGTGCAAAGTGAAGTTAAAATAGAAAGAACTTTTACAAATATTTCCACACTTCACAGAAAATCTGAAATCATTTGGTAAAGCATCACGGGCACAAGATGAGTTGTTTCTTATATGCAGAAGAAGAACACTGAGATACAACCTAATTAGTGTCCCAACGCGACCCTCACACCACTGAGACAAAAAATCCTTTTCTGCCTCTTCATCCTTCAGAGATTAAATACAGTTCAGTTTATAGAAACAATGTACATTAGGGGCAATAACTTGACAATGCATCTCTTCCATCAAAAAACAATTAAAATTAGGAAAAAATGTGATAAGGGAAAAAAAATTATGGAGCTCCTCATTACATGTTTCCAGGATGCTCTGCTGGTCTCTAGCATCCTAATGATGCCTTTGGGTCACAAGGCTTCTCTTTCTAATATGTCTTTCTCTTCTTTCTCTCCTTGCTCAGTCAATTTTGGGGGTCCAGTGTGAAGTGCAGAAGCAGCTGAAGGCCTTTGTCACTCTCGAGCGCTTCGAACGGATCTACAGCTCCAGCATCGCTGGGTGCCAGCATATCAAGAAGAACAAGAACTTTGCTTCTGGAGGCTCCATCTTCGGCAAGGGCGTCAAGTTCGCCATGAAGGATGGGCGAGTGGCCACCGACATTATCAGCGTGGCCAACGAGGACGGGCGGAGGATCGCGGCCATCCTGAACAACGCCCATTACCTGGAGAACTTGCACTTCACCATCGACGGGGTGGACACACACTATTTCATTAAGCAGGGGCCATCGGAGGGTGACCTGTCCATCCTGGGCCTCAGCGGCGGGCGGAGAACCCTGGAGAACGGCGTGAATGTGACAGTGTCCCAGATCAACACAGTGCTGAGTGGGAGGACTAGACGTTACACAGACATCCAGCTCCAGTACGGTGCACTGTGTCTAAACACTCGCTACGGGACCACCTTGGACGAGGAGAAGGCCCGTGTCCTGGAGCTGGCCCGACAGCGCGCTGTCACCCAAGCTTGGTCCCGGGAACAGCAGAGACTGCGGGATGGGGAGGAGGGTATTCGATCATGGACAGAAGGGGAGAGGCAACAAGTGCTAAACACGGGCCGGGTACAGGGCTACGATGGCTATTTTGTGATCTCAGTGGAGCAGTACCCTGAACTCTCAGACAGCGCCAACAACATCCACTTCATGAGACAGAGTGAAATGGGCAGAAGGTGACAGAGAGGGTCAATGCGGTGACTTCTTGCCAAAGACAGCTACTCTTTTGTGGCCACTTACCTGACTGTGTTGTACTCAATACTTTTTCTAAACTGAACAAGGGGGGGGGGAGGAAAATAGAAAGAAAAGGAATAATACAGTTGCACTGTAACTCATGCAACATACTTTTTTCCCTCTTTAATTTGGCCTTCACATGTTTTTTGCAATGAACAGAAGGTATATTTTGCCGTAGTGTGATCACAGTGAAATTTACTGTCTCTTGTCCTTTTTTGGTTTTGTTTCGTTTTCGTTTTTCCCCCTCTTTTGTGAGGAATTTGAAGTGGGGAGTCGTCAACGTACGTACGTCCTTAGGTGTAAGTGCGAAATGGGTGTCTATGCTAACTCGTGTCATCCTAACCCTTTCTGGTTTGGGCAGGGACAGAGAGCCTTCCACCCAAAACATGGGGAGTCCACGGCATGCCAGAGAGCTCTTCCTGGAAAGAAAGGAGATGGAAGACAACGCTGATTCTGACACTCTGAAAGTGACCGTCCGAATCATGTGCCTCAAAAGAGACCTTACCAGTAGTTTTCATGTTTCAGTTGGGACATAAAGTGTTTCCTTGGGGGCTCCTGCTGAGCAGAAGTAGATTATAGAGGCAAAGGAGCTGATTATATTACTTTGCAAGATGATTCTCTTCCTTCCTGAACTGGAATAAAAAAAGAAAAAAAAACAGTCTTTTTTCATTATGAGAGTAGATACTTTTGGGGTTTTTTTGTGTGTGCACAAATCCTGGTTTTAGTTAAATAACCTAGCAAAAGCCAAGAAAAGGGACTCCTGCTCTATTGAGAAAAGCTAAAATAAATCCTCTCTCTCATACGTAGAGCTGTTCTATAGGTGGATTTAATGCACCCATGTTGTACATTTGCTAATGGCATAACTTCATTAAATGTATAGTGTTTCAGTACATGAGGCTACGTGTTTAACAGTCCACTGTGCTGTATCTGATAAAACCAGTTAATTTTTAAGAAGCTGATTTGAATTTAAAAGTAGTTATAGTATCCCAGTGACATACCACTGAAAATTAGAGCCAAACCCTGCTTTTCCTGATTCTGGAGCTTGTATTTATTGGCTGGGAAATGCAGTTTTGAGTAGCATGCTGGCAAGTCGTTTATGACTATGGCAGATAAATGTCTCCCGGGGACTTTGGCAGCAGGGATTTTAAAATGCTTAATAAGTAGCAACAGCTTGTGCGTGGTGGGACAAGAAGGAGAATATTGGAATCAGCTCTCTCACTGTTTCTTACACGAGCTCGAATTAAATGGAGAGCACAGTTGACTGTTAGCAGTGACGAAGGGAGAGATTGAGTGGAAATGCCCACTGCAGAGGGGACCAAGTGCTTTAATGAGAAACTGCTGACAAAGTCACTCGGCATGCTAATGTAATTTGTATTCACATAACCTCTGTGCTCTGGTATTTGCAAGAGTCCTTGAAATTCAAGGGAGCAAGGAGATGAGCTCAGCATCCTCTTCCCTGCCTGAAACAGTCCTGTGATAGCAAGGGCTGTTTCTGCAGGCAGAGATGTTACCCCACCTCTCAATGGAGCTCTGGCTGGAGGTGGCCAACCCTGGTCCCAAACAGATGTCTTATCACACTGACACCAGCACGTATCCCGATTCTAAGAGCTCTCACTGTGTTTCTTTGGGAACAGCTCAGTCCTGGCTTTTTATTCCATCCACTTTGGTTTTTGCTTCCCAGTTCTTCAGAGAGATAACCCAAGATGTGCAAATCCATGCCAAGGCTGTTTCCTGACTTGGAGCCCTACAATGCACCTGTGTCCTCGGAGCCAGCTCTTCTGCACTCATGCCACCAGCACTGCCATCCTCCAGCACAGACTGATACTTGTTTGCAGGGTCTCACCCCCCAGACAAAGCGGGGGTGTTATGTTGGGCATGCAGTCCTCGAGCAGCGAAACATTGGCAGCCCCAGTGCTATCACGGTTTCCCCGTAGATGCCAGCTGCCAGCTCCGTCTGCCTTGCCTGTCTGTTCCAGGGTGCTTGCCAGAAGGAAGGTGATGGGATGGAAATTCCCCTAACAGACTGTTCCTCCTCCAGTTCCCAATCCCTAATGCCTTTGGCTGTGTGGTCATAACCACCGGTATGGTTTTGATTTTCTGGTGGTCTCTCCTGCTTGCAGTGAAGGTGATGATGCTGGTACTTTGTCCCAGTGCTGTACTCTGAACCACCCCTTGCAGCACACAACCTTTATTACTTTGGCAGGAGTCAACCACAGGCAGTTGGAAAGGGTATCCAGTTCTAGCAGAGTCAACTCGGAGAAGATGCGTTAGCCAGACCAGCTCTAGGCTTTGGCAAGGGAGCAGTTGCTTTAGGCTGCCGCCTGCCAGGAATGGTTAAAAGGCCATGGCATTACCACCTGTATTGCCAGCATCAAGCTCTTGGGAAGCCTCAATTGCCCCGAGGATGTGCTGGTGGGGATTAGGGGAAATGTTAGACAAACCAGCAGTAGCCACCTACTCAAAGGAGGCAGCACCCTCTTCACAATGCTACCCAGCTTCCCCATCCCCAAGTCACATCAGGGACAAATCCTTCTTAGAACCTCAAACTTGTGATGGCTGTGAATATCTAAAACAGCATGAATGGAGGAAAAAACATCTGCAGGAAGCTGGATCGAAAGGTATAAATCCCTGGTGAATACCTGCAGTGCAGAGAGGACTCAATGTGCCTCCCATTTACACTGCCCCACTCCGAGCGGCTCCGAAGAGAACTGGTGCTTCTGTATCCATCCCCATCCATATGTTACAATGCTAAGAAGAGTAGTGCAAGAGTAAATGGACCATGTTTCCATGGAGCCAAGAAAAGGGATTCAAGTGTGAAACATTCCTACTGGAACCCTGCCAGCCTGAGATGGCACCTCTACAGCCTTACAGAGACTCTTCAGGTTATTACATGAGCTAATGACTTTGAGGAGTTCACCCATGTTCAAGAGTCTTACAGTCCTGCCGTGCACACTCAGCATGCCTGGACCCAGGAGTCATCCTGCTCTGCACCATGGCAAAGGCAAACCCCTCGAGTTGCATTTCTCAGCATCCTCAAGCAGCGGTGGGATGCAACTGCGCCTGTCTGCCTGCCAGGTCCACGAGGATCTTCTCCCGGGCCTGCACATGGCGTGGGAACTATGGACATTAGGTCAAAAAGGGGAAAAAAGTATATATGTAAAAGTATATATATGTATATGTTGCTCCTCTCTATCAAAACAGAAAACTTAAAAGGGATGGCTGTCTAGTGTTGGGGACAAACCTGACCAAAGACAGCTACTACATTCCTAAATCCTCAGCCTCTGTGAAAGCTTTCAACTTCACCTAGATGGCAAAACAAGAACATTTTCAGTCCTGAAGCCCTAAATTTACCCCTCCATTAGTGAAAAATGCTTTTTCTACAGTATCTCAAGTGCATTCCCATGGAATGGGTTGAGAACACAAAGAGTTGTGCCCTGATCAAGGGACTGCACTCCACTGTCCACAAGCATTTTCATTCTACTGACGGCACCATAGCCACTTCCCAGCCCTTGTGTTGCCCCTTCTGCCTCTGCTATGGGCCATGCTGTGTGTGCCTGACCCTTCTGACTTTGCTTATAGGAAGGGGTGCAGCAATTCATTGCTTTGGTAGGATTGGGAGGTCCTGGCTGCAAATCCCACAGCACTAATCCCCATCTCATAGAATCGTAGAATGGTTTGAGATGGAAGGTACCTTAAAGATCATCTCATTCCAATCCTCCTGCCATGATCAGGGATACCTTCCATGAGATCGGGGTTGGTCAGAGGTCCATCGAACCTGGTCTTGAACACTTCCACGGATGGGGCAGCCACAACTTCTCTGGGCAACCTGTCCAGTACCTCACCACCCTCACAGTAAAGAATTTCTTCCTAATATCTAATATAAATCTGCTTTCTGTCAATTTGAAGCCATTCTTCTTTGTTCTGTCACTCCATGCCCTTGTCCAAAGTCTCTCTCCAGCTCTCTTAGAGCCCCTTTAGGCACTGCAAGGGTCTCTAAGGTCTCCCCAGAGCATTTTCCAGGCTGAACACCCAAACTCTCTCAGCCCGTCTCTATAGTAGAGGTGCTGCAGCCTTCTGAGCATCTTTGTGACCTCATCTGGACTCTCTCCAATAGGTTCATGTCTTTCTTGTGTCAGAGACCCCAGAGCTGGACACAGCACTTCAGGTGAGGTCTCACAAGAGCAGAGGGGCAGAATCCACTCCTTTGACCTGCTGCTCATGCTGCTGGTGATGCAGTCCAGGACATAGTTGGCTTTCTGGGCTATCAGTGCACATTGCTGGATCATGTTGAGCTTCTCACCCACCAACACCCCCAAGGCTACACTTGATCCATTCTCCACCCAGTCTGTATCTGTGCTTGGGATTGGCCCGACCCAGATACGGGAACTTGCTGTTGGCCTTGTTGAACTTCATGAGGTCCGCACAGGCCAACCACACAGGCTTGTCAAGGTCCCTCTGGATGGCATCCCTTCCCTCCAGCATGTCCACCATTGCTCTAGATACTCTTTCAAAGGCCAGTTGCATGCCAGGCCACCTCCAAGGGATAAGGTTGCTGCGGTCTCACATGCTTTGAGGCTTGATTTTGAGAAGTCGTTTTTATCTTGACTCCCAAAACGAGGAGTGATTCCTCACCAAAATGCAAAAATACAAAGGTGTAGCTTAAATTACTTTGGACGTTGGACTTGTCTCTAGTCCAAAGGGTGGTGAGACGGATTGTGACCAAATCTCACAGCTCAGAGGAGAAAGTCCAGTGGTCTGGAGCAGGGGCTGCATCTCCCAGTGAGAATGGCAAGGACTAACAGCTCAAGCCTTCAGTAGCTGGTGCTGGTACCAAAACATGCTCCATTTGAAGGGACAACAGTGATGGGGCCTACTTGATGTGGCATCCAGGCAGGAGCAGTGCCATGAGGACTCCTTCAGCTGCTTCAGGAGCAGCTGAAAAACATCCTGTGTGCTCAGCCCAAGGGGAGAGAAGCAAGACTAATTTGGCATCACGAGAAATGCCACAATGTTTATTTCCACTGAGATCTTTATTTTATTTTATTTTTTCCCCCTTTCAACTGAAGATTGGCGCTTGGAAAAATCATTAAGCAGCGGTGACCAGAGGGAATCATGCAGCTCATCATATCTTTGTCATCACAGCTATTGATCAGAGCCACAATGAAAATGTGCCAACAATTCTAAACAACACCAGGCGAGAGCCGATGAAACCAAAGGTCGTTAAGAGCCCCAATGCTTGATTCGGGTTTAGAAGGCACAGATGACTGGGAGCAGTCCCTGAGACACCATTTGGTTGTAACTTAGAAACAGTGAGGGATTTCTGTAATATATCTGTGATTGCTTTGTTGAGCGTAGGGATCGGCATGAGATTCTGCTCAGTCTATTATACAGACAGTGTAACCAGAATAAATCAAAATTGTTTAAAAAAAAATCTAATAAAGTACTTTTTCAGCTGTGACTTGTAAGTGTCACCATGATGGATGGCACCACAATCCATTATGCAAAGACAAGGCTCTTAACATGAAATTTTAGAATTCAATTTTACGATTTACAGAGAGGGCCCCCCTTATATTTACGGCACAGCAGTCTGTTTTGATTCAATCTCTGCGTAATTGAAACCAGGGCCAGGGATCATGGTTAGTCCTCCGGCCGCTTTTTAAAAGGGGAGGAGAAATAACCACCTATAACATTAATAATGGAGCTAAAGAGATTGCTTTGCTTGTTAAATCTCACTCACTTTGTCTCCTCGCCCTGGTGGCACTGACAAATGTGGGGAATACGGACACGGTGCCTCCATGCCAGGGATGTGTTTGATGGGATAAAATCTGGCTGCCATGTGGGCAGCAGCATCCTCCATCCCATAGTGAGCCTGGCTTGGGGCATTTTTGCTCCTGTTGTTACAGTCCTCCAGAGGATAGAAGTTTTTCAGCACCTCTTTTTATTATAATCACTCATTTTATTATGATCACTAAATAGTCCCCTGTTACACCAAAGAATTTTCATGAGTTTTGTAAAAAAAAAAACCCACAGCTTGCTTGTGTTTGCTTTTTGTTGTTGTTTTTCATCTCTAGGGTATATTTAAATAAAATTACTTGCGACTGTAGAGCAAACTTCAAACAGACACCATGGGAACACACAGGGCCCTGTCCAGCACCCCCCATCTCACTCCTGGATAAAGGGCCATTGCATGTCCCGGGGGGCCGTTTCCTGTGGCAGTTTTCCATCCTCTGCCACTCCCACCAAAAACAATCTGGCCCACCCAAGGGAAACCTTTTGTGTTTCTTTTCTGCTCTCCTTTAATTACCATAAAACTTTGTGTTCCTGACCAAGTATTACATGGTTCAGCTGTTAACTCTGATCCCAAAGGTCAGTGCTTTCTGGGGAGCATAGAAAACCACAAATGAAAATCAACTAAAAATATATATACATATATATATTATTTTTTTCTCCTTAGAGCTGGAAACTGTTCAAGCAAACAATAAAACTTTCCAAAAAGAAAATTAAAATGTTTGGACAGTTCACAGATGCTATTAAAATAACCAATCAAAAAATCACACTTTTCTATTAAAAAGAAAAATGTTTATTTTGTGAGAGGACTTCTAATGCAGCTCCAGCCAAGAAGAGGACTTTGTATCAAAGCTGCATCTGTAAGCCCAGCACTGAAGACTCTTGTCATTACCCTGTGTAATAATTTTCCTGAAGTCTGGAACTAATTTTTTGAGAAATTTTTTTTCTCAACACTTTGTGTTTCTAATACTGTATTCTTGACTGTGTAAATACAACCAGGCTGTAAATAGGTGCAGATGTAGATACCTTCTAGAAAAAAAAAAAAAGCAGACAGAAGTGACCATGTGTAGCCTTCGGTGACAAATAAAACAATATTTTGTGTTTAAGTACTGCTTTCTTTTTTTTTTTTTCTGTGAAAATGTTCAATTTCTTCACCTCAGCTGCTTGGTCCTTACATGGGAAGTGGACCTGGTAAAGGAGTTGACCGAAGTGCCCACCCACTCCTCAAATTTACACTCAAAGGTACATGGCCCATCTGTAGATGGGATACAAGATTGCAAGTGTCTCCAGGGCTTTGCTGATCCAGGCAGTAATGCTAGGGATTCTGAGCATCCCTGAGACATCAGGGAAGCTCTCATTCTAGCAGAAAGATAAGCAAACTGGGAAACTACATCATGGACTCCAAAAAATGTTTAAAAAAATAAAGATATCATTAGATTTAGCGATATGTCCTGTAGAAACCTGTGCATCTGATCCTGCCACAGTAACCCAGGGAAACCCTGGTGTGATCCATAATACCACCTGGTCTAGCCCCACTGGTGTCTTATTCTGATGCTTCAGGAAAAGATCAAGAATAACTTCAGAAAACATGGCTAGATGTGTGTTGAGGGAAATATTCTTGCTGGTCCTTGGGGACAACCTAATGGAAAGATGAAGCATAGCACTGGGTGGCAATCACTGGAGGAGGAGCAGGGAGTGCCTCCATTGCCATACAGGTTGACTGCCTGAGCATGGCTCTGCTCTCCAAAACCAGGTGAATTGGGTCTTTCAGAACAAAAGGTAGAGTCCAGCATTGCTGGGTGGAATTCCCCTCCTCTGGAGATAGGTGGCTGTGATAGAGGAAATAAACAGCACCTCTCTTTTTCCTTTGACACCAGACAGAGCCACAGGGACCAGTTCAGACCTCTTTGCATGCGTGTCATGTTAGGTGAGAGGCATCCAACTGCTGGTGGATATTAGTGTGTGCGAGATTTCCCTAAGGTTTCTACCTGGCTTTGGCCATTCCTGGGGGGATGCCATTCTCTCCACCAACAACATGTGTTTTCTTTCAGGGCTGTGTTCTCAGTCTTCAGTTTCCAGCCACCAGACTTCTTGCAGCTCCTGAACCCTCCTGCAAAGCAAATGTCCCCTTGGCACCAATCAAGTCCCCTCTTTGCTGTCCCTTTGCTATACCAAGCAGGATAGACTCCTTCAGCCTCATAGCACAAAGTCTACTTTCCAGTTGCTGGGTATTTTTAGTTTCTCCATCCTCTGACATGCTTAGCCACCTTTCCTTCAGCAGGAGAGTTTCACTTACCTTATGCATAAGGCCAGATCTTGATCCCATACTCATCAGAGATTTTTGTCTCCAAGGAAGGCGTTGCCCCCTTCTTTCTTGCCCTGGAAAGTGCCCACTGAGATAATTACATGGCCAGCTTGATATTTTCCCCTGAGCTTCTGGTTTCCCATGGGGCTGATCTGAAGCCTTTCCTCCAAGACAGATGCATTAGTTTGCATCACGTTGTTACTCACATGCATTTTCCTGGGCTGTGCTTAGCCAGGGAACTCAGATCAGCCTGCGACAGTGACCTGCCCTCCCCAGTACATACCGTCCATCACTCGCCGCGCCACCTGCAGTTTATCATCAGAAAAGACCCTGACTTAAATCACTGATAATGATATTGAAATGCATTGGACCAAGGACTAATCCCTGAGGGTAGCCAAGGAAACGGCAACATTTTAAGTTGTCGGCGAACCAGGTTTGGCTCTGCCTCATGTGGTTGTGCCAGATAAGACCAATGTTTTAATCAAAATATCGTAGGTAGTAAATCAAGTGCTTTCAGGAGAACTGCCCTGCCATGTCAGTCCAATAGGCCAGAGCAGACTTATCACACTATGTTTTTAATAGGGGCTGTAGCCAGAGGCCTCTGGCTTATCTTTCACAACACTACAAGGAGACTCTCCTTGCTTTTAAGACGAAAGCACAGAAAAAATTGTCCTCTTCTGCATTCTCCATAGGAAGCCTCAGCCATGGACCACATCTCACATATAGTTGGAAAGTACTAAAAACAAAGAATGGTGATTACATTTGGATGGGAGAAATAGACATGGGTAGAACAGGTGGCTCATCCCCACAGAAGTGCTCCAGCCTCATGATTCTTCCCAGGGCCAAAATTTTGCCACTGGCTGGCACAGCACATCACACAGATCACCTGAAATATTGGTCCCTCTAGGACTTTTTAGCTCAGTTGTGTCTTGAGATGGTGTATGTCCCCATGCAGTGCTGCAGTGCAACAATGTGGGCAGGTAAGTACCAGCTGCAGCAACCCCCCATCCCTCCACTGCACAGCATGGAGGGGGCAATGCTGCACCTCCAGGCCCAAGGTTGCAACCTAATGTTCCCAGTGCCTTTTGGCTCTCCTCTGCAAAGGTGTAGGTTGGAGATATAGAAAAGTTGACCTGCTGCTGAGAGCAGGGACAGAGACTCTTCTTCAGAGACTGATCTGCTTTAAAACATTATCTGGTTGTTAGTGTGTCTCTTTGAAGTAACTGAGCTCAGTTTTTTGTGGAATCATGACAGTTCTGGTTTGAACCAGTTGTTTCTATGTGGTGATCATTTGCAGAGAATTTTCCAGGGCAAGATGAGCTCCTTTGAATGCAGCCTGCTAAAGTAATGACAGTCAGGGCAAGGGAATTGCATGGATTATTGTGAGTCGAGTGTTTAAAAATTATTTCTTCGTTTCTGTCTAGAAAACTGCTCCAGCTACCAACCCACTACATAAACCACGAGCCCTAACACCTCCTTCTCCTCCAGCATACTGTTTGTAAAAACACAAGCCTTTCTAAGTCCTGCCAGCATATCCTTGTCAAGATTTACTTGGTGAACAATGGGAAGGAATATAGGAACACATTAAGCACCGTGTCTTTGCAGTTTACAACCCAGCATGCTTAGGCTTAAAACCAGCTCATCTCCCACTCTCTGAATTAAATGAAATAGACCCACAGGCAAAACATGGCTCTGAGTTTGGACTTCGATCTGCTACATTATTCAGTCTGCTTGAGCGTCTCCAATTCCACCTCTCGAGACACAGAGTGGAGTTTTTTAAACCAAAGCTCAGAAAATATTTTTTTACCCCAGGGTTTTCCAGGCAGAAATCAGCAGGCAGAACATTAGAGCAAACTTGTTCAGCAAAGCCAGTCCCACAAGTGAAATGCTACAAGCCAGTGGGACCACAAGATGGCTTTGATTTCTGCCTCCAAGAGCAGGAGATAAGAGGGATCCATTAACTCTTTGCTATGCTGTTATTTTCCATCCAGAAGATCCTCGTGTATTCTAGGAGTTTTGCACAACCAGACCTCATCATAGAATCACAGAATCATTTAGGTTGGAAAAGATCTCTAAGATCATTGAGTCCAACCATTAACCTAGCACTGCCAAGCCCACCACTAAATCACCTTCCCAAGGCCCACATCTACACATCTTTTAAATCCCTCCAGGGATGGTGACTTCACCACTTCTCTGGGCAGCTGGTTTCAATGCCTGACAACCCTTTTGATGTTGAACTGCCTTGCAGCAGTGACAGTTTTGGGCCATTGCAGGAGTGCTGCTCATACTCTTCAGGCTCTGGAGGTGGCTCAGGAAAAGGAGCTATCAGCCAGCCAACAGCAGCAAGGGGGGCAGTTCCAGAAACAAGGCAGATAAGGAGGAACAAGAAGAAAAATCCAGTGTTGCACTGGACATGTGTGGAATTTCAACCAACTTCCTCCTGGACCCACCAGAATCATTCAGGATGGTGGAGGAGCTGGTGGATGAACGTCTCCATATCTGCCGAAAATTTCCAGGATTAGTTGCATCTGCTAGGGAAGCTGGCCATTGGGGTAGGGTGTGCCTTGGGATGTTGGAGTTCCTGTGAGGCTGATGCTGTCTACCCCCTGCTCGTGCCTCTGAAACCTTCCCATGAGCACACCTTCCACCAGGGAGGAATTCCAACCTCCACATGAAGCTGGAGCGCATCTACAAGAGGGAGCGACTGGTGGAGGACATGTTGTGCTTCTTCCACCACCCTAAGGAGGGGCTGAGGAAAAATCAGTGTTCCAGACTACTGCACGTCTCCTCTGCACCAGTCCCTACCTAGACATGGAGAAAACACCCGCTGGTTCCAGATATTGTTAAAAGCAGCCTGGGTGGTTTTGCCTCACAGCAGGAGATACTGGAATAAAAAGATCAGTAAGGGTCACTCAGGA